CTTTACAGATCGCCACTTGCGGAGCCAGCACAACCCGTGATAACTCGATACCGTACAATCCTGAACAAGCACCGAATATTGGAAAACCTAAATGTCGCAGTGACGTAATCTAAGTGGAACAAATCCAAGTAGCGGAGACTACAAGCTACCAGAAACTAACCGCTAAGCTATGATGAAAGGAGGGAAAGGCAGTGAAGAGGCTAAAAGATAATCTAATGGAGCGTCTTTTAAGCTAAATGGCGCGAAATGTGGAAAAAAGAGATGAACTGCAATTTCATTTTACTCGACTATTCTTTCGAAAAAGATGATAAGGCGAATGAATTGTTGCAATATAGGGAATTGTTTAATAAGGCTGAAAAGAATTCTTGAGGAAAGCTTAAACGGCAGTCGAAATGAGGCGTTTATTGAAGAAGAAATAGGAGCCAAAATAGACAAGAATATAAGAAATCAGAATAAATAAGTCGAAAACTATAATACCAAGGTCCGTTCGCTACTACTACTGCGCTAACTGCTACTAACCGGACTGTAACTACTACTACACTGCTATTGCTACAAGCTACTGACTACTACATGCTACTGCTACGCTCTGCTACTGCCTACTGCGACCTTGGCTAACTGCTACTGCTAAGCTCACGGCTACTGCTACCCTAAACGGTACTGCTAACTGGCTACGTCACCGGCTAACCGCTAGCACTGCTTACCTACGTCCTGCTACGTACCGCTACCGACCGTACGGCCGACCGCTAACCGCTACCGCACCCCCTACACCGCTACCGCTCACCGCTACCGCTACGACTGCTATACTGCTACTGGCTAGCGCTAGCCGCACCTGCTACCGCTACCGCTATCGTTACGTCTGTACTATAATACTACTACTGTGCGGTAGTGCCTGTTGCTGCGCTGGCTTCTGCATTCTGCTGCTGCTAAACACTACTCCTCGCTGCTGTGCGCTGCTGCTTCATATAGCAAGACTTACTGCTACTGCTTAGACTGCTACTGCTTCTGTCTTTCTGCACTGCTACATGCTACTGCTACTCTACTTGCTACTGCTACTGCTCGCTCTGCTTCTGCGCTTTCTGCCTTCTGCTTCTGCTACTGCTACTGGCTACTGCTCTGCTTACTGCTACTGCTACTGCTACTGCTACTGCTATACTGCTACTCGATACGCTACTGCTACTGCTTACTGCTACTTTTCTCGCACTACTACTATGACTACTAACTACTACTACTACTACTCTACTACTACTATTACTCACTACTACTGCCTACTACTGCTACTGCACTACTACTTACTGCTCTGCTGCTGGCTGCGCTTGCGACTGCTGGCTGCTGGTTTCTTCTATTGATCAGCGGCTACCTATAATAATAAATATAATAATAATAATATAATAATAATAATAATAATAATAATAATAATCGAACTCTAAACTGCTTGAAAACTCAGGCAATCGCCCCATTGGATCAACGCAGAAGCCTGAAAAAGATTAATCTCAACAAGGCAATACGGCACGATATTCAAGCTGCAAATCAGGCCCTCACCAATATTATCAAAGATAACCATCTAAACTTATCAGAAATCAATGAATTAATGTACGCGACTGCTGCTGTTATTGCTGGAGAGACAAAAGAGAGAGTCACGAAGCCCACAGTGGAACCAACATGGAAGAAGAGAATCAGAACAAAAATTGAAAACCATCGCAAGGACCTCTCCATCCTTAGCGAAATAAAAAAAAGGTGTCACAACAAAACAAGTACATGCCAAGGCCAGGAGCATCTTATGCAAGAGCCGAAGGGAGACTAAGACCGTATGCGAGCTCGAACAAGAAATAAAGATGAAGCTACAGGCCAAAGCTCAGAGGTTGAGAAGGTTTACTAAGCGGAGTGAGCACTACTATCAGAATAAGCTCTTCCATGAAGATGCCAAAATATTCTACCGGCATCTCAACGAGCAGCAAAGCACCATCAAGGAGCCTCCCTCTAAATAGCGACTCGATCAATTCTGGCGTGGAATACTGGAGGTTGGCACAGACCACAATACCAAAGCCACTTGGATCAAACAAGAGGAGGAAGCATTCCAAAATGTAGCAATGGATGCATGAACTGACATTACAATGTGTGAAGTACAGCAGGCCATCAAGCGGACACACAACTGGAAGTCTCCTGGCCCAGACAAGCTGCACAACTTCTGGATTAAGCATTTAAGTGCCCTCCATAAACAACTAACCAGGGCCTTGAATGACACCATCAAGGATCCAAGCAATAGTCCTAAGTGGTTGACATCAGGAATCACTTTCCTTATTTCAAAAGGCAAGGATACAAAAGAACCTAAAAACTATCGACCAATCACTTGCCTGCCTACCACCTACAAGATTCTCACTGCTGCAATCAGCAACCGCCTCTACAATCACTTACAGAAGAGCGACATTCTCACAGATGAGCAGAAAGGCTGTAGAAGAGCGTCTAGAAAGTGCAAAGACCAACTTCTCATTAGTAACATGATTGTGAGCATGGCAAAAAAGCTCAAGAGGAACCTAGGAATGGCGTGGATTGATTATAAGAAAGCCTTCGACAGTGTCCCACATTCCTGGATTCTCGCAGCTATGAGAATCTACAGTGTCACCAACCATCATTCAGTTCATGGAAGCTACAATGAAGAAATGGAAGACTGAAAGGCTCCTCTTCACTCAAGGAGGCTGCATCAGGACAGAAGATATCTCAATCAAGAGAGGAATCTTCCAGGGTGACTCGCTCTCTCCCCTCCTATTCTGCTTAGCACTAACACCGCTTACCAACATGCTGAATAGACAGGGCCTGGGATTTACAGTCGATAAACACAATACCATCAGCTACCTGCTCTACATGGATGACCTTAAACTGTTCACCAAGAACGAATATGAGTTGGAGCAGGCCTTGGTAACAGTCAAAGCATTCAGTGATGACATCAAAATGGAGTTTGGCTTGGAAAAGTGTGCAACCGCAATCTTAAAAGGTGGTAAGCTAGTAAAAAGTCGAAATATTGAGCTTGATGACAAGACAGCCCTACAAAGTCTAAACCACGAGGACACCTACAAATATCTTGGTGTAGACGAAAGTGATGATATTCAGCATGCAAAGATGAAGGAGAATATTGCTAAGGAGTACTATGGCCGAGTTCGCCTAGTTCTCAAGTCTGAGCTCTGCTCAAAAAACAAGATAACAGCGATCAATAGCCTGGCACTCCCAGTCCCCGTGTACAGCTTCGGGGTGATCAACTGGCTGCGATCAGATATCGAAAGGATGGATCGCAAGACAAGAAAGCTACTAACCATGCACGGTCTCCATCACCCAAAAGCAGATGTAGAGCGACTGTACATCAAGAGGCAAAATGGTGGTCGTGGTCTCATTGAACTGATGTCTGCGTACAACACTGCCATTGTAGGTCTAGGCGACTACATCGAGCTTAAGGAAGACAAATTTACAAAGCTTATCAAAATTCATCAGTCTGGAATATCAAAGCACGCTCTCTTACGCGAGGCTAAAGAAATCAAAGCCAAGTACTTGTCTCCTCCGCCCGCCAGCCAATCCTCAACAAAGCAGAGACTGAAGACCAATATAGAAGCAGAGAAGATCGAGGTATTGAAGAACAAGCATTTGCATGGAAGATTCTACAAGAGCCTCGACAGGCCATTTGTCGACAAGACTGGAAGCGTTGCCTGGCTCAGTAGTTCCGGGCTCAAAGGGGAGACAGAAAGCCTGATCATTGCAGCTCAAGACCAAGCACTCAACACCAGATACCATCAACGCAACATCCTCAAGCAACAGGTCAACAGCAAGTGCAGAATGTGCAGCAAAGCAGAGGAGACTATCAGCCACATCATCTCCGGATGCACAGTGCTGGCCCCAACCGAGTACATAAATCGCCATAACAAGGTAGCCAGCTATCTGCACTGGTCAATCTGCAGTGAACTTGGTGAGCAAGTACCTGACAAGTGGTATGAACATACTCCGAGACCGTTCCAACAATCGGAGATACTACCATAATGTGGGATATGGCGGTGCAGACAGATCGCACGATACTGCAAACCGCCTGATATAGTGCTCCACAACAGGAAAGAAAACACGATGCCTGTTGATTGACGGTAGCCGTACCAGATGACTCTAACATTATGGTGAAGGAAAGGACAAACTCACCAAGTACAAAGATCTGGAGATTGAAATTAGGAGATGTGGAATACAAGACGAGAATTGTACAGTGGTGGTTGGAGCCTTGGCTCTCTAAAGAATGGTTTTGAGAAGAACCTTTAAGGAACTCCCTGGCCAACACACTGCCCAAGAAGTGCAGAAAATCGCACTACTGGGAACAGCACACATCCTGCGAAAAATTCTGGATTGAATCCCTATGTCCCAGGTTGGGACACGGTCAACCAGAAGCCACCGGCTAATGCCGTGATCCACTTTGGAAATAATAATAATAATAATAATAATAATTACAATAATCCACGATGATGTCGCTATTCGAATAGCCTAGTGATTGCAAATGATATTAGAGCTGCGTTTCGTTGTTGAGTTGGCGACTAAACGATTATTATACTGACAATTAAATAAAATGTTATTGTTATCGTTATAGCATATTTTTACCATTATTTTTATAAGGAACAGCGCTATTCGTTGTAGCCACCATGCTATTGTAATGATCGTGTGGAACCTTTGCCAGTATTGCCGTGTTCGACATATTGATATGCACAGAACACATGGTGCACTACAACAATCTACCCCCCCCCCCGAGGAGAGATATATTATTTCAACTTTAAAAATGCACCAACTTGGCTAAAATAACTGAAGAGCTTTGTCGAGGCTACCTGATAATTAACATGAATGATGAATGATTAACATGAGCATTGCACTAATACTTTCACCGAGCTATTGCTTTTAAACTAACTACACGAATAACTCATCTTACGTAGTGAAATATCGTTGATAAATAACACTTATATGGGATAAATAATGGTATTTAAACCCACCTTTATCGGTGCCTGGCATATAATCCTTGGTAGGTCCATCTATGTCATCTCCGACTTGTGTCAATTCAAAGCCTTGTGACCAACCTTGACGCGTAACCACGTTGGTTGCCTTCCAGTCGCACGGTGTCTCGAAGTCGCACATCGTACCTGCAGTCAAACGGCATACGGTGAGCAGCAGCAGCGGTACTGAGATCACCCAGTTCGCCGCCATGCTAGACGAGATGACAGCTTTGTGACGGTTAGGCGTATGTCAGTTGGCCAAAGTCGATTTACGCGCAACACTGGGCAGCGCCTGGCCGAATCAAGTCCGTCCATCCGTCCTCGCTGTATTGTCGTGGCATTTTCGCTAGCCGATTGCCACTCGGTGCAACGATTCTGTGTTTGCCAACGATTCGCGGCTTCGCATGTCTCAGCAATAACGCGATTTGTTGTGCTGTTCTGCTCGACAGTGCGGTTCGTGCCCAGGAGAGAGCCGGACGCGCAAGGCTCCTCTACACGTGAAGGGCCTCAGCGGCAATCGTCAGCAGCATGTAGCGTCAGCGCACTACTACAGCTTGCTGGATACGGTAGCGCTACAAGCTCCCGTCGACCGCTCACGCCGACACTCGCACGCTAATAACCCGTCAGTAATCACCAGCGCAACGGCTATCAGCGCTTCGTGATGTGCGCACGGCGTCGGCGAAGTGAGCATGTGCCGGACTAGCGTGCGAGGCGAATACAGGAGCGAGTGCTAGATGAAGTAGCAGTGTGAGCGGTAGGGGAGGCCTCTAGCTCCTACTCCTACACGTGTCCAGTCGCGCGGGGTCAGAAGCCGGTTGGTGAATTGCGCATAACAACGCGAAAAGCGGCTGCGAGATCCTAATAGCAAACTTAATAATCAATAAAACTGATTAAATATTAAACACAGTTCCTTTTGATTATAGCCGGGGCTATGTATAAGCTATACACACAAGCCGATATCTAGATCGACTTGCATCTGATAAATGTCTGAAAGGTCTAAAGCGCAAATTTGAAAAGTCTAAAGGTCTAAAGGTCAAACTCTGATGCAATATATCTGCTTCTGATTATAGCCGGGGCTATGTATAAGCTATACACACAAGCCGATATCTAGATCGACTTGCATCTGATAAAGGTCTGAAAGGTCTAAAGCGCAAATTTGTATCGGGGACCAGTCGGGCAAATAGAGTGGTACTTTATTTTACACATTTTGAAAGCACGTTCGCATTCGCAAATCTTGCAATCGCAAGCTTGTTGAACGGCGCGTGCATGGAAAGCAAAAATGTTGTCTCTGAATCATCGCGTTTGATTCAGGAATACTGTGCAAGGACTGTACATATGTATTATGAGCATACATGTACACAAAACTAATTAGCAAAGGTGTGTGTGTGTGTGTGTGTGTGTGTGTATGTGTGTGTGTGTATTGATGCGTTTGAATAAATGCTATATAAGGATTGTAACGAGTACTCACCTACACATAATTAATTATCACAGACCACGCATTATAATGATGTGTTTAATTTATAGATGCTATAAAAAGATTGGTAGGTGTGAACAGATACAAGATATATTGAGCCATTTCAAATACATCACACTTCAAACTCAAAACAAAGAATTCATCAATAGCTTAAGATCAACCCTGTTCCTACACCATACAAATATGTATAAATGAAACGGCTATTATATTCTGAAGGCAAACTCCCATCCCAGACCGAAGCCATACAGCATAATTTCATATATTATTAACTCGAACCTCCTTATTAGATTCTTTACGTTTTTGGTTGAATTTCCCTGTACAAATCAATTTATAGCAAATATACGAGGAAAGTGCGACCGATCGCTAGTTCCTCTCGTATAAGGTTACAATGTCAACTCGAGTTACACGTTCGCTTGCATCGCAGTTTAGCGTGGGGAGTAACTTAGTTACGCGAGCAATCAGCAGATCCATAGATCTGATTGCTCACATGCCGTCGTCACGTATATCTGTAGTTTCAGCTTGGTTGAACACAGCCCACGTAGCGTTATGTGCCGGGGGCTACATCAAATCTGTCAAATAAACGTATACAAATGCGACAGAACAGCTGCGGCTCCATCGCAATGGGCTTACCTTCCGAAATAACGGACGCCTCGTTAAGCCTAAAATGGCCATTTCCAGTTGCACACGATGGACAGGAGAAAATCGACAACGAATTTTCTTACAGCGGAGTTTTTTTCCAGCGCACAGTCTTCGCAAAATACTTAATTGATATATAGTCTTTGCAAAATAAAGGTTATCGCTAAACCATGAACGAGACTTGTTTCATACTTATATAAACCATACAAATATTGTCATTGATATATATTACCAGTTATTTGAAGCACCATAACGTAATAATTACGAGAGAAATTTACGTATTTACGTATATAAAACAAAAAAAGTCATTGATATAACCAGTTATTCGAAGCACCACATCATGCGCGGGAATAATCAGACTGTAAAAGCTAATTATAACTATGTTCCGGGAAGGCTTTACATTTGCGAAACAAAAAAACAGCTGAACATGTTTTTAAATGGTGATGATTGTGATACGTGCATGTCACTGTCCTCTATATAATTATAATTATGTGCACCTTTAGCTTGTCATGTTATGCTGTAGCATCGGCGATTGATTTTTACTGTTTCGTTCTCCTTCTGTCGACTTACGTCTGCAGAGACATTTATGAACACGTGCAAATGATGAGCTGTCTCGCAGATGGCATGTTCAGAAAAACATGTTGATTTGACAATCAAACCATTTCCTTCCGCAAAAAGAAATACAGAACATGGTGTAAGGATTGGATATGATTGATTGCAAAAAGACCGTATATCTGCTTGACAGCATCGACATCTGCAACAGGGATGGAAAGATATATAAAGAAGGTGAATTGAAGAAATTCCTGCGCGTCATGACTTCACAGGCCTTGCACAGTATTCTCGTAGACACCGAAAAGTTACCTTCTCGGCGGGGTTTCGCTTTACACTACTGCTTGCCAAAACAATGAAAACACGCGGGAAATCTCGCGTTGCTTGCTGTACGATAGCCGAAGTTAAAGTACTGCCCCTGACCTATCCTTAAGATTCCTCCTTAATGTTGTTCCTTAATAGCAACGTCGTTGAGTTAGCGAGACGTTTGTGAGACGTGAAAACTTAGCGAGGCTTTCGTGAAAAACTTTATATATAAGTATATCCTAAAACCTCTCTTTAACCCATCACTAACTTAACGAGCGCTTCGTGAAACGGCCCCGAGCTCTGTATTCTTCGTACCGATCAAGATATTTGATAATTAGCAGTACCGTATTTGCAGTTCACAAAATGGAGCTGCCCACGCAACCGGCACTGCATGACGCACGAACGCATGGTCATGCCTTTAGCGTACCGTTATTGATCTGCATATTAGTTAGTGGCGTCTAAGAATCCGGGCGGTCGGCCACAATACTTAGATCGTATCAGTATCTCGAAGCATGAGGCAGCCTGGTTACGCATCAGTACTGTTTGGCCAGCATAAGACATATAAGACATATGCAGCTGTACTGTCTTTGGTGAATGCGGTGCGTATAAATTGTCAGTAATAAGCGCACGAGAAACCACTGCGAAGGTTAGACCATACCTAGAGCTAGTTTAGGTGATCGTCCTCGTTGATACTGTAGGTAACTGAGTGACGAATCGTGGAATAATATCCAGATATATAGCTGCAATAAGCCATAAAGGAGCAAACAACTGGTGATTATATTTATTTTTCAAACTTTATTGGCTTAACATTGTGGTTTCTGATAACATTTCTCGTGCCGATTGACCGACCACATTAAAAACGATTTTTCGGCAGAATTTATCAATTTGGCACTTATACATGCTTTCTTGTCTAGTATGTACTTACAGATAAATACTTCCTATAAATCCAGTGTTTAACTAGACGCCTAAAAATTTCCAACCCGAAGGTTCAGGTTAAAAACATATATTCCCCCACCAGAAACAGATCATGGCCTAAACCGACAGCTCCCCTTACTTGGCCACGAGCGGGTACATTGATGCTATAAGCAGGATTGATCGCTCTATGCAGAGCATGCATACATAGCCCTCCCCCTTCCCCCTTAATCCAAATGCCTGCCTACACCTACTGCTTCGCTCTCGCTCCCTGTCAAAAATGGCAGCCTCACAACCAGCCTCTCTTAAAGTAATTACGTCACCATAAATAGTAAAAGTAAAAAAATATGTCCACTTTTTAACAAAATATAAGTTATTATGTTCGCTTTTTATTGTTAAATTGGTGCATTATACTTTCTATTTTGCTATTCCGTTTGATGTGAACAAACCCTCGTGACTCATACATAGCCCATAGCAAGCATTTAATGTCATGATCAATATATCAAATCTCTCAGATTTTTTGGATTTTTAACTAGTTGAAAAATAATCTTATCAGGTAAGAATTTGAGGATACATTTAGTGCCGTTAGTACTTACTTTTCATGTAAAAAAATTGCAACAAAAATTTTACAAATATACACCATGAAAATTCGTGACGTAGTCAATTTAAGGCAACAACTCGCAATGCCGGCGCACTACCGGCGAGATTAGGATGCTACGTAGACAGGCGATAAATTGAGAACAGACACAACCTCTGATTGCACCCAGGTAAATTGCCTTCATCTCGGATCTGAGAGGGAGTAACGTTCGCATTTTAGACTCATACTATTCCAATGTTATCTGAAATCTGAATCTGAAATCAGGCTCATCAAACTGACATGTTCATCGGTAAGGTTCCACCCTCACCCACCGACCACGTGATTAGCAGAGTGTCTTTCACATGTCCTTGCCAAGATTTTAGCTGCGGTACCTTTTCCTACTGGCAGAAGTAAACTTACAGATCGCCATTGGCGGATCCAGCACCTGATAACTCGATACTGTACAAGTCTTGAACAAGGCTACCGAATATGGAAAACCCTAAATGGTCGCAGGTGACGTATCTAAGTGGGAAAATCCAAGAGGGAGACTCTACAGCTCCAGAACGAACCGTTAAGTATGATGAAAGGGAGGAAAGGCAGTGAAAGGCTAAAAGATAATCTAATGGGCGTCTTTTTAGCTAAATGGCGGAATGTGGAAAAAAGAGATGAGACGCAATCTTTTACATCGAACTA